GGGTATTTTGTTTCAAGTTTCATCAGTGGACTTAAAGCAGAATTGAAGCACAAGGTTAAAGTGCATGAGCCTCGTTCTGTTGCTGAAGCATGTCAAAAAGCAAAATTGTATGAACTGTCTTTAGAAGTTGAAGGGTTAAAACCCAAGATTCCATTTGGCCATGATCATGATCATGCAATTCAATTAAAACAGGGAGCTGAACCAATTAATTTGCGGCCCTATAGATTTCCCCATCACCAAAGAACAGAAGTGGAAAAGCGGATTATTGAAATGTTGGCACCCTCCATAATCCAGACTGCTAAAAGCCCTTTTGCATCTCTTTGTTTATTGGTTAAAAAGAAAGATGGCAGCTGGAGGTTATGTGTTGACTATAGGCAGTTGAATGGTATGACTGTGAAGAATAAATTTCCCATTTTCGTTGTAGAGGACTTGCTGGATGAACTTTCTGGTGCTAATTTTTTTTCAAAAATTGATTTGAGATCAGGATACTGGCAGATTCGAATTAAGCAAGAGGATATTCAGAAAACAGTTTTTCGAACCCACCATGATCACTTTGAATTCAAAGTGATGCCATTTGGTCTCACAAATGCACCAGCCACAATTCAATCTCTTATGAATGAACTGTTTGGCCCCTATCGGAGAAGATTTGTCTTAGTCTTTTTTGATGATATATTAATTTATAGTAGGTATTGGCAGACACGCTTACAGCATTTGGAGTTGGTTTTGAATCTGTTAAGGAACAATCAGCTATTTGCCAGGAAGACTAAGTGTTTTCCTTGCCAGGAAAGAGTAGGATATTTGGGTCACATTATTTCTGCCCAAGGAGTAGCTACTACAATTATTCCATTTTGGGTTCAGGAGGTTGAAAACAGTTACAAGAATGATGAGTGCGTTAAAGAAAGGATAACTAAAGTATCCTTACATGACAATGACTCTGGCAAATGGACATATACTCAAGGAGTTTTGAGGTACAAGAAGAGGGTGTATATTGGCACAAATAGGGATTTACGTCAACAATTGATTACCTTGCTTCATTACTCTCCTGTTGGAGGGCATTCAGGATTACAGGCCACTTATTATCGAATTAAACAATATTTTTATTGGCAAGGGATGAAATCAGCCATTAAGGTCTACATTCAGCATTGTGATACTTGCCAGAGAACCAAGATAGAACATGTTCCAAAGTCGGGTTTGTTACAACCAATTCCAATACCACAACAAGCTTGGGATGTTATTTGTAAGGAATTTTTGGAAGGTTTGCCATTATCATCCAGGTTTAATCGTATTCTTGTTACTATTGACAAGTACACTAAGTATGTACACTTCCTTCCCTTGGCTCATCCTTATACAGCTAAAGATGTTGCTAAAGTTTATTTGGAGCAGGTTTTTAAGCTTCAAGGTACACCAAAGAGGGCCATTTCAGACATAGATAAAGTTTTTACTAGTCTTTTCTGGAATGAATTTATGAAACATTTGGGTACTGAAAATTTATACAGCACAGTTTATCATCCCGAAACAGATGGACAAACTGAGAGATTGAATCAATGTCTTGAACAATACTTAAGGAGTTTTTGCTTCCTTAAGCTTACTACCTGGTTGAAATGGTTGTCCCAAGCTGAATGGCGGTACAACACCGATTTTCACACAGTGCTGGGAACAACACCATTTGAGGCTTTATATGGTTATAAACCCCAAATTTTAACATGGAAAGGGGAATCAGGCAAACATATTATCTACTCGACAACACATACAAACACTACTTCAAGATCAATTACAAAAGGCACAGGCTCGAATGAAATTGTATGCTGACAAAAAACGTTCAGAGAGGGAATTTCAGGTTGGTGAAAAAGTTTACCTTAAACTTCAACCTTATGTCCAAACTTCGATTGCTCTTTGCAAAAACCTCAAATTGGTTGCACGTTATTATAGACCTTACAAGATAGTCAAACGAATTGGTTTAGTGGCCTATGAATTGCATTTACCAGATTCATTCCGAATTCATCCAGTTTTTCATGATAGTTTGTTAAAGAAGAAATTGGGAGACAAGGTACTGACCTCATTTGACTCTCCAGAAATGGAACCAGATGGAACCTTAAAGATCTATCCAGAGAAGGTTCTTAATAAACGAATGATCAAACTCAAAAATCAAGCAGTCACTCAACTCTTGATTCAATGGGCAAAATATGGGGCCTGAAAATGCAACTTGGGAGGATTTTTCGGTTCTGCAGTCCCAATTTCCTCAGTTTGATCCTTGGGGACAAGGAAATTTTGAAGCCGGGGGAATTGTCACGATGAAGGGAAGAGAAGAAATCGAGGAAGCTAGGGATTAAAAAATTAGGGCATGAAGAGAAAGGAATTGGGGAAAATCAAAACAGTTACGTTTTGAGTAAAACAAATTGATTGGGGCAGCAGGTACAAGCCCAGATGAAGATAGACCTTAACCTAGTGGAAAATTACTCTAATGAGGATTAAATCAATAACGGAAGGAGGGTTAGCTGGCGGATTAAAGAGTTGTTGAGGGAAGGACAATTCTGTTAGACACGTGTCCAAAAATAATAATATTCTGTGTCCAAGTATGCTATATAAACAAAGCTGATGTAAAGAGAAGTTTCTAAGTAATTTGATGAATGAATTTCTTCTGAATTCTCAATTCTATTTCCAATTTCTTAATCCCTTTCTTCAATCTTCTTGTTCACTACCCTAAATCGTGACAAAAGTTTTGGCCCAATTGTCAAACTAATAATATGAGTTAGTCTTTAGATATTAGAATGTGGCTGAGCCTCAAAAAAACGTGTTTCCTACTTTTAGCAACAGTGAAAATTTTCTTAAAATAGAAAATAGAGATTGAAAAGGGAAATGAGCTAAATATATGTGTTGATATCATGTCATCTTGCTAAAAGAATCAAGTCATTTGGCAACAAAAAAAAAATCCTTCATTATCAACATTCACCCTGTGGTACCATCCCCCTGAAAGAGAGAGGAAGATGCTGCAGACATGCATGGATATAGTTGCCTGAAATATAATAAAACATAATTTCTCAAAAACATACCTTGCTCTTGAGAGCAGAAGCTGCAGATCCGCGATCAGCAGGGTCAATGGAAAGTAAGGTTTCCATGAGTGCTAATGCCGGTGCAGGAAATTCCTTAAGAGTCTGTTTGGATCAAGGAATTTAGTATTCCCAGCAGGCATATTTGTTTACTGATGAAGGATACCCATGTTTGGTTGATGTATGATTCCTAAGTGAGGGAATTTATATTACCAACAGTAATTTTTGGGTTTTATTACTGGGAATGTTATTCCATTATATCATCATGTGGTCATAATTGCTTAGCTATTTAATCACATCATCACTTTCATTCCTTATTAGAATTTGACATTTGTGTTTCAATTTCCCTCCTTTGACCTAATTTTAGGTGGACTTTTGGAGTTCAGTTGGTCAAAAAATTTAATTAGAATAAAAAATTTATTTTCATGTTAGTAAATTATCGATTGATATAATAGGATAAGATGTTAAATATTTTAAGTACAAAATATAAATTAGATTGAAAATTTTAGTTAAAATGTCACAGCCATAATAAAATTTTATATATTTAATATAATTAATCAATCAATAAATCAAATAAAAATATCATTTTCATATGATGCTGATCGGATCAATTTAGGTTGGATCAATGCAAAGCCACAGCGGTTTCTTTTCGCCCCATTAGATGCAATCAAGGGCGTATCCAAGCCTACCTAGGCGATGGCCCATCCCATGTCAAAGTTTAATACTTATTTAGTCACCTAATTTTATTTAATTTTTATTTTGATTATCTAACTATATTTATTTTAAATTACACTTAGTATTACGTTTTAGTTCTATTTTGATCCTCGTCTTTAAACTTAGTGGTAATGTTGATATGTTTTTTCTACTTTTTTCACCCTGCTTTTCCTCCATTGTTGAGCCTAGAACAATGTGTGCTGATTTCTCGCCATTTATTGTTAAATTCGAGCATATATTGTTGGGCTTCGTTGTCTTTTCTTGAAGTGCATGTTCTTGACATGGGTGCAGGATAATGATATACGCCACTCACACACCCTAATCTGCAGAGTCTTCTAAAAAATTAGGTAGACAAATCGCGTTATGAAGTTAAAGAAAGTGATGGTTCCTCAATAGTCGTAGATGCTTTCAATAAATAAAAAATGGATACTTGATATTTCTACAAGGAAAGGATCGCTCTTGTTAGGGTTTTCCTCTTTCTTTGTTAAAATCGTTTTGAAGAGAGGATTTGAGAGATTTTTGTGTAATATTGTTATGTTTTTATCAATGACTCTAAATCCCTTGTTCCTTCTAATGTAATTGTAATTTGAAGGAATTAATAGAACTAATTTTATTACATTTTTGTTGACATTTTGGTTGTTGGATTGAATTTAAAATGACCCATAAGTCTATTCTTGAAGATGAACTGATTTGATTAATTTCTCATTATTTTTTTTTGAGCTGAAAATGATCCATTAGTCTATTCTGAAGATTTTTTAGGTTAAGGGATGATCAGTTTGTCATTCAATCATAAAAAAAGCTTGCTTTTGTCCTTGAAAGTGCTGAAAAGCTATTTTTTTCTTTCTTTTTACAATTCAATGTCTATATGTAGATTGATGGAATGGAAGCACTTTCAAATATTGATTTTCAATGATGTCTATTGTTTCTAGGTTTTTTGGTTTGAAATCTTTTTTCTAGCTTATTATCGAGTTAAAACTCGAGTCTGATGAGGATTTAGAGGTAGCTGTTCTAAATATTGGTTGCATCTGTGAAAGCTTGTTGTTGTTCTTCCATATTCTCTAAGTTCTGAATGGTAATTGTTGTCTCGTTTATGGATACCTTACATTCACCAATGGTGTTATTGAGACAATGCTCCTTTGATACTCAATAAATGGAGTTTTTCACTCGTTCGTAATTATGAATTCTATTTGATAATTCATGTCTTCAATTTTTTTGCTTTATTTTCAAGTTTTGATGTGTAAATCATATGAAGTGGCTTCAATCTGATCTTGATCCTTTTCATTTCAGGGAACATCTTTGCTTTCGGGCTTTTCGTATCGCCCTTGTATGTTCTATTTTCCAAGTTTTAAGAATTTATCATTGAAATGAATAGATTGGCATATCTTATCCTCTAATTAGTTATGGCTATTGTCTTTTGTTTTAACTTTTCAGACCCACGTTTAAAAGAATTATCAGAAACCAGTCTACCGAGAACTTCTCGGGATTGCCTTATATATATGCTCTCTTGAACTGCTTGATCTGTACGTGGTATGGCACGCCCTTGATATCTTATGACAATGTGCTGGTTATGACGGTTAATTCGATCGGTGCAGTTTTTCAAATGACCTACATTATCATCTTCATTGTGCATGCTGATAGAGAGAAAAAGGTTATCTTTAGATGCATTTGTTTTTACATACCATTTGTTTCTTAAGTGCACTCTGTAATCTGTATTGTTCTCATGTTGCCTAGACTCTCGTGCTCTCGTATGATATAGGAGCCTCCTCTCGTACCATCGGTCTAGGTGTTGAATATTAAGTACTTTAAGAAAAACGGGAAGTCCGGGTACCATAGTGTTGTTTTCCACTGTCAGTCATATTCTTTGTGTTGATGGCAAATTAGGATGATTGGGTTGCTACTAGCAGTTTTTGGCTTTATCGCAATCATAGTTGCTGGAAGCTTGCAGATAGCCGACCGAGGAATGCGATGGATCTTTGTTGGGTTATTAAGTTGTGCTTCTCTCGTATCAATTTTGCTTCCCCGTTGTTTATAATCGTAAGTTGGTTGATCAAATGCGCTTGTAGTTTTCTTTTCTCTTATACTTTGATTGATTTTGAAAATTTTTAAATTTTTAATGACATGATCTTTGTTCCCAAAATTTAGTAATTCGAACAAAGAGTGTTGAATTCATGCCATTCTATCTCTCCCTCTCAACATTCTTGCTGAGCACCTTGTTCTTCCTATATGGCATCTTTAACTTCGATGCCTTTATTTACGTGAGTTGCCTCTAACATCGATGACAGCTTCTTGTTTTCAATTTGATAGTTGTCAATCTTATATGTTAACATCACCTCTTTGTTCTTCAGGTTCCAAATGGAATCGGAACTGTGTTGGGGATTCTACACTCGTGTTGTACTTCTACTATAAAACAAAGTCCTTCGAATGATCCCAAGAACCACTCATGGTGTCACACGTGACTCTTGCTTTTTTCTTTGAATAGGTAATTACTTCTATATTCTGTTTCTATGCTTCGATATTTTCTGATGGTATGCTGGTGGAAAGTTTTTTTATGTTGAGGTGTATAGTGACAAGAATCTTGATGTATGGTCTCGTTTGTTGTATTTTCCTGAGCGTGTTCCATTTCTTTGTCTGAACAAATTTGTTTGTCAACACTCTGAGTTAATAAGGGGAAGTGTCTAGGCTTTGCATACATGAGCGAAGCATAACCCGATTTCTGCTTGAGACCGATTCAATTACATATGGCTACTATTTTTGCATCCTACCACATTTGAACACAATTTGTGCTCACTTGAATGCATAAAGGAACCGAGGTTGATTTCCTGCCATGTCTGTTTTCACTTGTTTAACCTCAAAGCATCACCAATTTTTGGATACGGATGTTCGAGTATGTTCCGAAAGCAAATACATAAAGGAAATTAAGGGTCGGAATAATATAGGTTCCAGACTTGTAGAAAGTTGAATTAAGAAGGATTCTCATCAGTTCTGCAGAAATGAAAGCTAGTACTTGTTAGATTTCAGCTTAGATTAGATAACTTGAATTAGCTTCAATATCCTTTGCCCAAGTTACTCAGTTTCGACTGTTAATCATGCTAGTTTATATCATACTGGTATCGATGCTATCGACTGTTAAATCAATTTTAACTACATATTTCAAATTCGGTTTAAGATTATATCAATCATGATTAAAACGATGTTCATATTTTGAAAAGGCAAAGGATTCAATTACATTATGGGAAAAATTTTCTTTGTAACATCTCGTAGAGTACGAAAAATGAAGGAGGCCACTCAGTGTTGTTCTCACCACTGCACTGAATTTCACCTGCAATAATATAAGCTATGGGTGTATTTAATTCGATTTGATTTTTAATAAAAGATTAATCTAGCAACACATATTTTTTAAAATCGAAACTGAAATCGAATCAAATGGCATAAAAATCATAGTTTTTGATTTAATTTGGTTCAAATTTATGATTTTCTATTGTTCACTATTTTTTAGATTCAACAAACAAACCTTAAAGCTTAAACAGAGTGCAAATATTACAGCTTTAAGTTCATAAAGAAAAAAATATTAATCTTTAAGGTTTTATTTATTAAGTTCATCTTATAAACAATGTTATGTTAGTAGAGAATTGGGTGTAATCGAGCTGAGTTAAATTCGAACTTGATATATATAAATCTAATCTAAAATCAAGGTAATACATGTTTAAAGGTTCTCAACCAATATATGTTGTTGCTCATACCTTTACATATATAATATTCTAATCCGAAATCTCAAAATATCAACAAACCACTAAGTCTTTAAAAGAGCTTCTCCGTTATAAATTTCATTCGAGACATTGCAGTAAAATACAATATGATTTTAGCTATGGAAGTTGAAGAACATAAAATCGCCTCTTGATCGCCTGATCGGAACTTCTCTTGATAAATCATCAGGCAACTGCCTTCTTTCACCGTACAAAACAGCTCACTAAACCACAACTTACATTTCCCCCCATAAGTATCGGCCGTTGCCAAACCGACAACACTGAGTTATGACTCTGCCACTGCATATTCTTTCAATCCTAGCAAGAGCGGGTGCCTCTCCCCACATTTTAGCTCTGCTCACACCATTTCACATCCATGAGTCTGTGACTGTGTCTTGGTCCACCATTGGCAACCACAAGCCTTCCATTTGAAACCATGGCGGGGCAAAGACCAACAATGGTGGATGCAGCACAATGAAGATAATTGCTTCTTCAGTTTGAGTTTGGTAACACGGGTTGTAGTTCTTATCGAAAGACATTCTCGAGGCCGATTTTTCAACCATGCTAAGACTAAACAGAAACCCCTATTGCCAAAATCAAGTCAAAACCAAGCGAGGACTACGTCTCATGATAATATGTACTGCATTGTCCCTACATTCCGGTGAGCCGTGACGACGACTGATGCAGCACCAACTGCACAAAACTGGGTTTGCACGTGCAAGAGCTTTACATCAACATGTAGTATTTGCTCGGTCTTGGATTTAGTTTGGAACCTATATTATTGTATATATATATATATAAGATAAATAAATTATTGTATAGAAAATATAATAAACATTATATCTTAGATAACAAAAATAATTTACATCTTTTTATTATTATAAATATCTATGAAGAATTTCACAATGTAAACATTTATTTCCATGATGTAAAATTTTAATATATTTTTACATAAATTATGTAAAATTTAATATTAATTAAAATTAAAATAATGATATATTTAAATACTCAAGTAATATTATCAACAAATAGAATTTTTATATAAATAATTTTTATTTAAAGATTTAGAATTTAACTTGCTAAAAAATATAGAACAAGGACAATTTGGTAAAATATACATTCCAGTAATCTTTTATTCCATCAACCAAACACTGTAATCTTACATTCCTGCCAAACCAACCAAACACAGTAATGTAACATTCCCAGTAATCCTATTCCTTAATTATCTTTTATTCCCACTAGTAATCTTACATTCCGTGAACCAATCACACCCTAAATGTTTCAGCAACACAGCGTCTATAAGGCTGTTGAGGCTTAAAAATTGTAGCATGAGGCAACTTTGATTTCCCCAATAGTCTTCAGAAGGTGAGATACATTACAATCTAATTTGACTTGTATCAATACTAATCTCCATTCTTGGGTCCCACTTTTCCAAATCAATTTCCCATTATATCATCATGTGGTCAATAATTGCTTAGCTATTTAATCACATCATCACACTTTCATTCCTTATTAGAATTTGACATTTGTGTTTCAATTTCCCTCCTTTTGACCTAATTTTAGGTGGACTTTTGGAGTTCAGTTGGTCAACAAAAATTTAATTAGAATAAAAAATTTATTTTCATGTATAGTAAATTATCGATTGATATAATAGGATAAGATGTTAAATATTTTAAGTACAAAATATAAATTAGATTGAAAATTTTAGTTAAAAATGTCACAGCCATAATAAAATTTTTATAATATTTAATATAAATTAATCAATCAATAAATCAAATAAAAATATCATTTTCATATGATGCTGATCGGATCAATTTAGGTTGGATCCAATGCAAAGCCACAGCGGTTTCTTTTCGGCCCCATTAGATGCAATCAAGGGCGTATCCAAGCCTACCTAGGCGATGGCCCATCCCATGTCAAAAAGTTTAATTACTTATTTAGTCACCTAATTATTATTTAATTTTTATTTTGATTATCTAACTATTATTTATTTTAAATTACACTTAGTATTACGTTTTAGTTCTATTTTGATCCCTCGTCTTTAAAAACTTAGTGGTAATGTTGATATGTCATAATAAGTTAATGTCATGTCAAGATTGAAAACTAATTAAAAATGACATGCAGTAAATCCAACTTACTGGTTTCTCTTTAGTTCTTCTGTAAAGAAGCAAATTGGTGCTGGTAGTTTGATGTTTTCAAATATTCCTCCACCTATAGAGGCATTAAATCACACTATGATTGCGGAACCATCCATGTCTTGGTGGCTGCCCCCAATTGAACCAAAATATAATCCCCCAGTAAGCATAATATCTATTCAAGTTTTCCTGATCCAGTAGATGGTGCTTACATTACACCTCAAGAACTGGAAGATATCAAAAACAAGAGAAATGTAAATGAAGAAGAAATCCTCAGTAAGTTCCAACTTTTTAAACAGTTTGATACTGTTGAAGAGTTTTTGGACCATCACTATGCTGCCAGTGGATCTTCAACAAAGCAGGTGAGTGGCTTTCAAAGATTTATCATGGTCTTCCCTATTTTATAGTTATGTTCTTATGTTTTCAACCAGTAAACTTTGTTTTTATCAATTTTTCTTTGTGGCAGGCACCGAAGAACTGGGCAAAGAAGATTCAGGAGGAGTGGAGATTTCTTGAGAAGGATTTGCCAGGTGAGTTTGAAGTGTTTTATTTTTCTTTGAGGGATTTTTCATTTACATAACGTGTTCTTTCTTTTATCATCCCTTCTAAGTAAATACCATCGATTAGTGGAATACTGCAAGCTTGAATTATGACTCAGAGTACACATTAAGTTTTGCGCAGAATGTTAACAGCTGAGATCTTACACTTTGCTTGTGACAATTTCCCTTTTACTGATGGAATATATAAATAATATGGTTGCTTACGAAATATAATTTCTACCGTTTCAACAGATACTATTTTTGTTAGGGTGTATGAATCAAGTATGGATCTCTTGAGGGCTGTAATTATAGGAGCAGAAGGAACTCCTTACCGTGATGGTCTCTTCTTCGTTGATGTTTTCTTCCCTGCAAGCTATCCTATAGTCCCACCAGTATGTAATTGTTTATAAATTTGATTGCATCGCATATGATCAAATTTTTGGTCTGATTAGTAGGAATTCCTTTGCAGCATGTTTACTACCACTCTGGTGGGCTTCGACTGAATCCAAATTTGTATGGTTGTGGAAAGTATGTCTTAGTCTTCTTAACACTTGGTCTGGTAATAAGAATGAGAACTGGATA